ATCTGCTTCTTTTCTCTAGCAGCTTTCAGTATATTATTCTTGAGCTGAATTTCTGGGATGTTGACTCTTATATGTCTCGGTGTGTTTTTAATTGTTTTGAGTTTACTTGGCATTCTGTATGCTTCAGTTACCTGATTTGGGAAGTTTTCTGCTATTACTTCTGCCCATATTTTTTTTAATGTCCTTTGTATTGTCTGCTTCTTTCTCATTCATGCCTATTAGTCTCACATTGTTCATCTTTGCATCGTCTTGCAAGTGATGAATTATTTTTTCTTGCATCCTAGTTATTTTTAAGAGATCTTTTCTTACCTTTTCACTAGCTGCACCAGCGTCTTCAAGATCTGAAACTCTGTCTCCACTTTCTTTTTTCTTTTCTTTTCCTTTTTTTTTTTTTCAGAACCGGGGATTGAACTCAGGCCCTTGCGCTTGCCAGGGAAGCATTTATTGTACTGAGCCATCTCCCCAGCTCCTTCACTTTCACTCAAATGGTTTTGCAAGCTTTTGATTGTGATTTTAAGTTCCTCTATATCTCTTTGATTCTGCTTCATGCGATCTATTTCTTTCCTGTATTGCTCATTCAAGAAATCCATCATTTTTCTAATCTCTCTTTTTTTTATCATTGTCTTCTTTAGAAGTAGTTATTAATTCTTTTACTGTAGTTTTTTTCTTTTTTCAGATTGGGTTTCCTCCCTATGTTTCTGTAGTTGATTCTTTGCCTCAAATGCTATGAGTTCAGAGAATTCTTTTTTTATTTCAGAAAAGAATTCCGCTATGAGTTCCTGTATAACTTTCTGTTGTTGCTCATTTACTATCGATGCTATTAATTCATACGTTTGAGCTGAGCTAGTGTCCTCTGCACTTGTTCTGGGTGGGCATTGGGTTTCCTGCATATGTTTCTGCATTTGATTCTTTACTGCAGATGCTATTAGTTCAGGAATTTCTTTTTTCATTTCCAATCTGAGTTCCTCTATACCTTTCTGCAGTTGTTTCTTTATTTCAGAAGCTGTTGACTCATTGATTTCAGCTGTGTGATTCCCAATTTGTTTTGTGTTAGTGTCCTCTGCACTTGTTATGGATGGGCTTGGGGTCTGAGATTGCATTTTGCTCCTTCTCATTGTCATTTTGTGTAGCTCTGTCTTCTGACCTTTTTGTAGAGCTTTGGTGCAGTTATAACCTTAGCACCTACTGAAATTCAGGTGCAGATCTACAAAGTTTGGATTTATCCTGCTGTGCCCGGCTTGGGTCTGGCTGCTGTGCTCAGCTCCTTCCTGCTGCCCCTCTTGGGATTGAACCTGTTGTGCCCCTCTGGCAAGATGTTCTGCTCCTGGACATCCTGGGTGGTTCTGTCCCCTACTCTCTCTGCAGGGATTGCAGCTGCAGGGTTTCACCCTAGGCCTGTATGTCAGGCCTGAGCTGAGTCTGGAGGGGACAAGGTGGAGTAGGGGGAAGAGGAGGCTCTCCCATATGCTCACTGGGCCTGGGCGAGGACTGGATCTGGGGGTCCCTGGAACGCAGCAGAAATTCTCACTGGGTGAGTGGGGTAGGGGTGTGCTGTGGAGTGGTGGTGGGGGTTCTCAAGGGGTAGAAGAGTGTCTCACCCACGCTGCGCCTGGGCTGGGACTGGCAGGTCTCGCCTGCGCAGGGTAACGGGAAACTGTCCTACATGCTCCCTGGGGCCTGGGCTAGGACTGGATTTGTGGGCCCTGGAAATTCTCGCTTGGTGGGCGGGGTCAGGGGATACTGCAGAGTGGTAGAAGGTTCTCAAGGGAGTGGAAGAGGGTCTCACCCATGCTAAGAAAAAACTTTAATTTCACCTTCACTCATTCTTTTTTCTTTCTTTTTCTTCTTCTTCTTCTTCTTTTTTTTTGTATTTTAGGGAAGGGTCAACAGGGTGTTCAGGGTCTCACCACTAGATCGGACTCATAGTGATTCTCCTGTTTACGGCCTCCCAAGTGCTGGGATTACAGGCATGCATCCCTGTGACCAGTTCCAATTGCTATCTCAGCGTGCCCCAGGGGTGGGCCCGGCACAGCAGGTCCAGGGAGCAAACCCCTGACCCCTGTGCCTTCCTGCACTCTCTTTCTTTCTTTCTTTCTTTCTTTCTTTCTTTCTTTCTTTCTCTTTTCTTTTCTTTCTTTCTTTCTTTCTTTCTTTCTTTCTTTCTTCCTTTCTATCTGTTAATTTTATTGAGAAACAAATAGCAATGAGACAGTTTCAAAATCTATTAATAGGACAGTTTCAATAATTAATACATTGCACATTATCTTCTTAGTGGTTATCCATAGTACAAGATGCAGACATGATATCCTGTCCAAACACTATTAGTACAAATCTTTCTTCTCGTTGAATTAAGAGAAAGTAGCTGTATATCTATCGTAACTATTTTGTATATACAGATACAAAGTGGTCTATCACTTGTATCCCCTTTTTTGTTTAGTTTTGTCAGAGAAGCGTATTCCATTGCCATTTAAATGTTGTAGGTGCGTGAATTCAGCATATTCCAATATAGTCCAGTAGTCCATAGTAGTAGTGGGGTATCTGTAGGACTGGCAATGTCAGAAGTTGGTGACTTGAGCCAAGACATTCTCTCTCTTTTGGTGTTTGTTTGTTTGTTTGTTTGTTTGTTTTGGTCTTTTGGAGGCAGGGTCTCACTGTGCAGTTCAGGCTGGCCTTGAACTTGCACCAATCCTCCTTCTGCCTCAGCCTCCTGATCCTCCTCCTGCCTCAGCCTCCCGAGTGTTGAGATTACAGGCATGCGCCACCACACCCAGCTTACTGATTTGTGAAAATCAGGGCTGACGTAGCTTTTTTGTTACCAGGTCTGACGGTGACTGCTGTGAAAGACTCAGGAGAGTGGAATCTGGAAGCCGGGGCATTGGTGCTTGCAGACGCAGGTCTTTGCTGTATAGATGAGTTCAACAGTCTCAAAGAGCATGACAGAACCAGCATTCATGAGGCGATGGAGCAGCAAACCATCAGTGTTGCAAAGGCTGGGTAAGTTTTTCTTTAAAAATCTGTTGAAACAGTGAGGTTATTTAGTATTTAATTAGGGAAAATTGGTAACTCTGTTGGTGTTCTCAGGGTGGATCAGTTATCACCCTTCAAGATACACATAAAAGCTTTTTCTTTTTAGAATATAGTGTGAGGAAATAAAAATGACTTTTTGGGAAAAATGCAGTATGAGTGTGGGTGGACTTAACCAGTGGGAGAGATTTATACGGAGCTTTCAAAGCAAGGTTCAACTCATTCTTTCAGCTCATTAAATATTGTGTGTGTCATTACTATTACTATATTAGGAAATTACTATATTAGGAATTTTGAAAGGCCCTAGAAGAAAAACACCGTAGATGGCTTAAGTGGCATTCTTCTTAGAAGTCCTAACAAAGGATTGGCCATGGCATATGGAATACTAAGTAATGATAAACATTAGCATGAGGTGAAGGGCTTGTGCAACTCATAGAGGCTCAGGTGGAGGCCTGTGACCTGTGGGGCCACCAGCCAGGCTCAAGGGGAAATCCAGTCGCCTAGGACCTGCTGTGCTGGTGGGAAACTTACCTGCTACAGAGCTGGAGGCCATCCAAGCAAATGACGAGCCAGACTCTCTTGACCTCAGCACTGCCAGGAAGGGTGTGAGACTGAGCGGCTGGATAAGTCAGCTGGCAGCAGTCCCCAGCAGCACTGGTGCTTGGGAGCTCAGAAGATTGGTACTCGTAGGTCCTGTACCCTAGGGAAAAAGCCATGGGGAATGAAAGGAGAAGGAAAGAGAACAGACGTGGCCTGTAGGAAAAGCATCCTAGAAAGAACTAGGTAGCACTGCACCAGACGCTTGTTTCTTTATTCACTTGATACCTCCCTATCTCTGCTAAGAACCTGCCACAGGCCAGGCACCATGCTTATCACTGAGAAGCACACAGGTCAGGGACATCATCCTCAAAGTCTTGACTTTTTTTGAGAGAGAGAGACAAAAATAGCATTGAAGAGATAAGTCTATAATAAATGTGCCTTGAGAATGCATACTTTAAAATAATTATTTCCTCTAAACTCTAGCAGAAGCAGTTAAACTGGAACTAGTATTACCTTTCTGTGCTATCCATAAGTGTGTTGTAATTTCCACAATTAATGTTCTATAGCTAAACAATTCATTTATGATACCAAGAGCTTGAACAGTTTCATCTTCACTAACTACTGTATGCTTTGCAATAGAGCTTTGCACATTATCAGTGGTAAAGAACCAGTGTAATTGCTTTTACAATCTGTTACACAACCATCTGTCTGTGTGTGTGTGTGTGTGAGACAAGGGATCGAACTCAAGGCTTGCACATGCTGGCCAGTGCTGTACCACTGAGTCATATCCTGGAGCAGCATAGAAGAGCAGCAAGCTCCTTCCCCTATCATCAGTCACATGAGCCACAAGGTGACAGCTTCTGGGCACAGATATGAAAGTATCCACTTCCTGGACAACTTTGAAGTCTGTAGCAATAGCTTTCACCATTCATTGCTAGACAACAAACCTCCTCATCCTCAGGGCCTCTAGCAAAAGATAAAGGCAAAGAACCCTCCACTTTTTTGGGGGCTAGGGATTAGGAAACCCTTCCCTCCCCAAGACTTGGGCACACGCTACTGTTTCTAGAAGAAGGGTTGAAACAAAAACCAACTTCCTTGGAGAGAAGTACAGCAAACATTCTTGGATCCAGGGTGCTGAATCTACATAGGTACAGTAAAAGCAGAGGTCTTCTGCCACTGAGGGGCAGGACAGTCTGCCTGTCAAGAGCCAGCACAGGTACTTGGCAGACTTCAGAGCCATGAACTCTACGCTGCCCCTGCCCCATGAGTGGGGAGGTGAAAACAACTAATCTCTATTCTCTCCCATGGAAGACCAACTATACAGACTTTGTCCAAGGCGAGGAAACCAAGAATCACCTGGCTCCACAGGGAGCTTAGTTTCATTTACTGTAATTTGTTGGTCAGGTTTTATTGTTTTCATGGTATATTTTTATTTACATTAACCAGCTAACATAGCAGAAGAGGTGGTTTATTGTACACATTATACTTGGCCACAACTGAGAAAAGATCTAGCCCAGAAATGGACTAATAAGTTAAATATATAAATTCTAGAACAACTACTGGAAGAAGCGAGGCATAGTCAGTGAACCCACTGTGGAAATGAAGTGGAATCATTAAAACAATCCAAAAGAAGACAGGACAAAAAGAAAAAGGCAAATAGTAGATGGGATGGATGGAACACGGCTATCAAGATGATGGGGTTGTTTTTTAATTTATGGTTCTAAAGGACAAACCTAGAGCTTTGTACATCCTAAGCTTGTGTTCTACCGCTCAACTACATGTGTAGTCTCAGGTAATAAACTTAAATCATTTGAATAATCATATTAATAATAAATTATGTTAACAATTATAAGCCAGAGATTATCAGGTTGGATTAAAGAAAAGCAAGGCCCAACTATATGCTGCTCTCAAGAAGCCTAATTTACACTTGATACATAGGTAAGTTTAAGGAATGTAGCTGTCAGCCTTGGAAACCTCTGTACCACAAGAGTCACAAGGAGTAAGAGGTGAGTGTGCGACTGAAAGCAAAAGGAGAGTGATGAAGCAGAGGCCCCAGTGAATGAGCTTGCGCATCTGTGAAGAAGGCACAGAATTGAGGAAGCCAGAGGCCAGGGTGCACGTACAAGTTGTTGGACTGCATGCTGCTGTCTAGCATGTGTCTCATTCGATTGTGCTTTGTTTTGTCTTTCTATATGTATTTTTTTGGTACCGGGAATCAAACTCCAGACCTTGTGCTTGCCAGGCAAGGGCTTTGCTGCTGACTTCTCTCCCTAGCCATTCCTTGGATTTAGAGCATGCATAGCCATGGCTGCCTGAGAGACCCCCTTGGTCACACTGAGGCAGCCCTGTTAGTCTTTGCCTGGCCTGTGCCGTGCTAGCCGTGCGGTGGCCAAGTGTCACACATGCAGCGAATCGTCTCTTCTGCTTTGTTAGCTGAAGAATCAAGACATAAACAAAAATAAAAGAGTGTGTAAACAAACACATAACATGGAAACAATAAAACTTGACCAACAAATTATAAGAAAATAAGAATCCAGTATCATCAAAACAGAAAAATTCTTTCCAATTCAGTAAATTAATCCAACACTGTATAAAAAGAATTATATTTTACAACCAAGAAGATTTTATCCCAGGAATTCAAGATTGGTTAAACTTTTAAAAACCAAACCCGGCCAGGCTGGGGAGATAGCTCAGTGGCATAAGCTATTGCCTGGCAAGGGTAAGGTTCTGAGTTTGATCCCCGGTACCAAAAAAATAAAAACCAAAACCAATCAGTGCAATTCACAATAGTAGCAGAATAAAAAGGAAAAAAAACACCTTAGTTCCACCCCCCCAAAAAGGAAAAAAATTCCAATAAATGAAGATCTACCAGACAAAGTTAAATATTCTTGCATGAATGAACTTTTCAACAGATTAGAAAAGTTCTGCCTTTTTTATTTTTTTAATTTTATTTAGTATAGGATCTACAGGGTCTCGCTACACAGACCAGACTCATAGCGATCCTCCCATTTTCAGCCTCCCAAACTGGGATTACAGGCACACGCCACTGCCCCCAGTCTCAGTTGCTGTCTCAGTGCACCCTAGGGGCAGGGCTGGCAAGGCCCGTGGTACTGGGGATTGGACCCTGATCTCTGCACTCTGCCTAAGCAGATGCTGCAGTCCACCAAGCTATCTGGCCAGCCCTTTCCTCTGCCTTTTTAAAATGGATCTGGAAAAAAAAAAAAGAAAAAAGAAAAGAAAAGAAAAGAGAAAAGAAAACATGTAAAAGTCATTGCAAGAGCCAGGTATGATATTCTACAAAGAAAATTCCAACATGTCTGTGAAAAGCTGATAGAACTAAGCTGAGTGTGGATTATAGGCACATGCTTATAATCCCAGCACTCACGTGGCTGAGGAAGGACCATAGGAGGTCATACAGTGAGTCCAAAGCCACTCTGAACTACATAGCCAGATGCTATCTCAGAAAAACAGTACATATGCAAGCAGGGTCCAGGGTTCCATCCCGGGGCCTGCTGTGCTGGCCCCGCCCCCAGGGCGCACTGAGACAGCAATTGAGACTGGGTGTGATGGCGCGTGCCTGTAATCCCAGCACTTGGGAGGCTGTAAACAGGAGTATTACTTCGAGTCTGATCTAGTAGTGAGACCCTGAACACCCTGTAGACCCTTCCTTAAAATACAGAAAAAAATTTAAAAAAGAAAAACAGTGAATAAGATAATAATACTTGTTAATGAGCCTATCAGCATCATAGAATATGAGGTCCGTATATAAACTTAATTGTAATTCTGTGTGATAGCAATGAACAGTTGGAAATTTAAACAAAGTGCACATATATAAAATCACCCTAAAACAGGAAGTGTTTAGAAGTAAATCTACCCAAAATATGTTCTCGTGTACACACTAAAAATTGCAACTCAGGCCAGACATGCGGCAGTCCCAGAACTAAGGAGCCTGAGGCAGGGAGATGACCGAGAGTTTGAGACCCTCATGAACTATATGGTGAGACTCTGTCTCAAAAACAAAATACAAGAAAAACAAAAACTGTAAAGCACTAAGGAAAAAATTAGAGAGCCGGAGATATAACTGGTTTTATTCATCAAATGACCTGAAATTGTTAAGGTGTAAGTTTTCATCTATAGTCAGTGCAACTCTAGTCCAATACCAAACAAAGGACATTTTTGCAGAAACGGATATGATTTTAAACTTCATGTATAAAAGTACAGGAACTGGAAAAGCAAATCGAGTTTGAAAAAGGGCGACTATGGAGGACTTAACTTTGCTTCAAGATTTACTATAACCCTTTGGGAATAAAGACATTGTAGCATGGGAGTGAGGGTAGGTACAGTTGGAGAGTCTGCAGATAGGAGCAATGAAGTTCACCGAGTTTTCAGAAGGCTTCCAGGGACTGTGGTGCCCCTACCATGCCTTTTCT